CAGGTGAATCATGAAAGGAAGATCATATCCGCTAGTACTGTACAGGGGGGGGGGGGGTCATGGGAGAGGCAAAGAGGTCAAGTGAGGTCAGAGTGATGTGTTAGTTGCAAGGAGGCAGATCTTGTGAAGTTAGGTCGTTATGTTAGGTGTCGGTGGAAAGCATAGGAAGGGAGGAAGTCATGTAAGGTCATATTGGTGTGCTGGTTGCAAGGGGAATTATGCAACAAGGGGAGGTGCAGGTCATGAGTTTGTAAAGAAACATGGGAGACGTGTGCATGGGTTCATGATTTCAGAAAATCGTAGAGGGGGATGGGACAAAAAAAAAAAAAAAAAAAAAAAATGCAAGTTAAATTATGACGAAACTAATTAAGTAGGAGTCTTTTTGGGTCACGGCCTTAGAAAGAGGGGAAAGGGGAAAGGGGGAAAGGGGAGGGAATTTAAGATGTCAAGGGTGTCACAAATTCGAGGGAGGGAAGGAGAAGATACGATGGTACATTAAACTAAATGAACATTTCAGGTGGAACAGCAGTAAGGTAGGAAGAAGTAAAAATAAAATAAAGTTTATGAAATAGTTAACCCGTAATATAATAATGCTGAAAATTCATAAATCGCATATAAGATACCACTGAAAGTTCGCATAATATTCAGATTTCCGAAAGGAAGAAATGCGAATCGAAAAAGAATCCATTATGATTAAATAACTTGGCAACTATAACTTACAGATCTTTTAACTCGCACTTTCAAAGCTCCGCCCGCGTTCCTTTGCCGTGATCAGCATCCAGTTCCTTAATCAGGACTCAAGTGGGCGTACTTTCTTTTCCAATCAGGGCGGCTCTCACGTTCCAAACTTTACCAGAGACGTGTACTCAGGCTGGGCGACAAATTTCGGTTCATTAAACCTGGCAGAAAGTTTTAACACAAACGACCCAGTTTCTTTTCCCCCGGGCTCCCTCTTTCAGTCCCTCTGCTTGTGTAGGTATGCAGTCACACATACGCACACGCATGCACACATATATAGTTAAGCGGACGCACATACGTACATACTTTTACAGTTGCACATTTACGAGTACACACATACACACACACACACACGCACACACACACACACACACACACACACACACACACACACATACACACACTATTTACACATACCAAAGCACAGGAACACACCCATAATGAAGAAGAGAAGGTTTCCACACCCTTACCTAGGAAAGCCACCTTCCTCAGGTAATTCAGTAGCTGTTCACCATCGACGGGAGTCATCTCAGCACATAGGCCCCACTGCCCACCACACAGGTCCTTATGCATATCCCTGCCGATGAGACATTTACCTTACATTCGATACTACTATCTGTACTGCAGATGTAATACAATAACCCCCAGAAAACATAATCATTTTCAAGTATTGTGGTTCTTCAAGTAGACCAATCGTTTCGGATTATCATTGCTACCCTTAGGTATCAGAATTACCCTAGTGTGATAGTGGTACTCTTGAGGACCAATAACAAAGATAACACTATTATACTACTGAATATTCAAAGCTGCACATGACCTATTCTCACGAAATGGAAAAAAAACTGCATGTACAGTATTTCAGGTTATAGAAATATTCAGATTTCATTTTTCGAATATGTCGATAAATGCAATAGATACTTACCGAAACGCTAAACAGAGGAGAGTGATAAAGACAAAAAAATTCAGAGAAAGAAAGAGGGAGAGAGAGAGAGAGAGAGAGAGAGAGAGAGAGAGAGAGAGAGAGAGAGAGAGAGAGAGAGAGAGAGAGAGAGAGAGAGAGAGAGAGAGAGAGAGAGAGGGTGGGGAGGAAAAGAGGTAACGAGATAAATAGATAGTTTAAGAGACAGATAAATAAATAGACAGATAGAGACAGAGAAAGAGATCACGTGTCGATAAACACAGTATACACTCACCTGAAGGCGTAACCGAAGGCCATGACGGCGTCAGAAACGAACTGCAGTTGGGCCTCGAATTCCGTATTCTGCGCAGTGAGCCTCTCCCTCCCCGTGCACGGTTTATTGTAGGCGTCGTTGTAAGGCGTTCGTGAGGCATTGGGATATCTGCATCGGAATTGGTGCTCCCAGTACTCTGTGGGGTAAAGGCAAAGGCGAGGTCACTTTTGTTCGAGGACAGAGAAGGGCGGGAAGATCGAGGTTTCTTTGTTAGATTCTGCCATTACCTTCCTCGTTGAATTAATTGTATTGTAATATGTATTTGATTGCTCAATGGAGTCTAACTTACGGTATAATGCACTGAATATTTATATTATGTCCCAACTTCCATCAATACAGTGATAAATGAACAATGAAGTCAAACAGTTATTCAGACTATGATGCGATGCCAAGATTAATTTGGTGAAATACGCTCTCACACTATAAAACCGCTTGATCCCTTCCACCTAAAAGAAACAGAGAAAAATCATTTTCCAACTCGCTTGTTCGCGCGTGAACATTTTGCAAATTTCTAGAATCAAACGCGTTGACAATTGTCTTTCGCCAGACTGGCACTGCTTTTTGCCTGTGACTGCATCAGTTAACCTATAATTGAGGGAAACTTGCACTGCATGGCAAAATAAGCAAGTTAATGATTAAGCTGTTAAAATTCGTTGTCATTGTCAGAATGAGCCGAGGGAGATTCATTTATACACATTTCCTCCTGTTACTAATATATATATATATATATATATATATATATATATATATATATATATATATATATATATATGTGTGTGTGTGTGTGTGTGTGTGTGTGTGTGTGTGTGTGTGTGTATGTGTGTGTGTATGTGTGTGTGTGTGTGTGTGTGTGTGTGTGTGTGTGTGTGTGTGTGTGTGTGTGTGTGTGTGTGTGTGTATGTGTGTATGTATGTATATATGTATGTATATAAGTTTGTATGTAGGTATGTATATAACATAGTTTACGCATCTTCATGTTTGTGTACTGTGAACACTAACAAACGAACTGATTTTGTACTGTGATCACTAACAAACACGTCTCATTTTCCGACCTCTCGCCTTATGATATTCCCCCCCACTTCACTAAGCTTCCTTTTTATCATATTGTAGCGAGTGAAATACTGGTTTCCCCTCATATCCGCTGGTCGTAACCGATGAGGGTGCCCTCGGCGCGGCTGCGCAGACAGATATCGACAATGACAACGTAAATTCTAGCAGTTTATATGCACGATAGAAAAATTAAAACGGTTCATGGTTTTGCGCAAGGGAAAAAGGAGCTGTTTATCTAATTGTCGCTGTGCGCTGATGCCACTGCGCAGATGAAAATGCGCAGGGCATAAACAATAGCGTAGGCCCGAGACTTCAGTGAAGCCACAGAGAGAGACTGTTTTTATTTCCGATGTTTATTTAGTCATATTGTGTCCATTTTATATCATATCTTTCGAATTGTGAGGCTGGGGAAACATCAGAGGCTTAATATATAATAAGGTAATAGCTTTTATGTTGGTTATATTCATGTACGCTGCCACGCCTTCAGTAGGATACAGAACCCGTAACTTTGAGTTTTTCTAGAACCCTTTTTATTTTATTATTATTATTTTTTTTTATCAATTTCAGTATCTTAATTTTTACTTGTTTTATCGCGTATGACCTTGGTTTTATAGTAGTTTAATCCGATTTTACGTTAGTCTTTCGTTGGGTTCCTATCGTTTATTGCTTCTCGATTTACTTTAATGTTATTTTTAGATTGATTTTGCTGATTTTGACATCTTTATGTTTTACGTAATCATATCACGAATGCCTTTTAATTATAGAAGCAACACCTAAGATGGACATATCTTAGGCCTAAATCAAATAAGAAAAGGGCCATACGCTACCACTTCACATCCTTTTCAGCGATCGGAGAGGAGACGAAATATGGAAACAAAATTAAATTGAAACATGGCAGACAGATCCGTAGAGTATATACTAAAATATACTTAGCCAAATAGCAAAGTAAACGCTACAAAATGATTTCGTATTTATTCTCGTTATTTTCCTACTCTGTATGAATCATTTCAAGTCAGGATTTCAAGGCTCCATTTCCCCCATGGCAGATTCAAGATTAATACTGGGCAATATAAACTTTCTTTTTTCCCGAATTTTCTAGATTTTCAATAGTAACGGTTTGCAGAGTTACTGCATTCTAATGACATTTTTTATCTGTTTGAATTTCATCTGGTCAATAACTTTTTCAAATCATTCTTATCATAATCTTTTTTTTATAAGAATGTTCACAAAACGATGCTAGGTTATCTATCTAATACAAGTTAAAACTGAAGTAACTTTCAAAATTTAATGTACAAAAAAGGTGGACATAGAGAACAGATTATCTTTTCTCTCTCAAATTAGCATATAAAGAAAAATGGAGGAGAGAGGGATAAGGGCGAATGGAAGAGGAAAAACTAATATCACACGTAACTCTAAACTCCAACAAATACTCACTGAAAATAAATAAATAAATCAGAAAAAAAGAGATATACATAATAAGTAAATAAAAGAGAGAAAGAGTCAATGCAGAAAGACAGAGACAAACAAATTAAGAGAGAGAGAAAGAGATAAATAGATAGATAGATAGACAGATAGATAAATAGATAGATCAATAGACAGATAAATAGATAGGTAGATAAATAGATAGATAGACAGACAGACAGACAGATAGATAGATAGATAGATAGATAGAGAGAAAGAAAGAGAGAGATAGATAGATAGATAAATAGATAGATAGATAGAAAAAACACCCATTGCAACTACAGAAAATATTCCCAGAGTCTCCACAGTTGCATTTCCTTCGGATTGCTCGTGACACTCGTCCCCCGCCAAATATAGAAAGTTTTCGTACGGTCACATCCCAAGGGACACTGCTGCCGGTCCGGACGAAATCGAAGACTTTGTGCACTATAACGCGGATGGTATGGCTGTATTCTGTTATCATTGGGAGTGTTGTTAGACTGTTAGTGTTATCGTTTTCTATATTTTTTGGCCATTTTA